GGTGACAGTCTACCTGCAGTTTTGATCTGCAGACCCACGTTCAGCTGTACAGTTGGTACAACCTCTCTCTGAGAGACACCGCGGCAAATTAAAATTAAATAAATAATAATAATAAATAAAGAAACCAAACAGTTTAAATTCATGCTCTTATTTTGAAATAAACAAGAGTTCCTGTTCTTCTTCCTGTAGCCTACACAGAATGCATCGCTTCAGTTTTACAATAAACCAGGGGTGCCCAACCAGTCGATCGCGATCGACCGGTAGCTCGTCGGCTGGTTCCCAGTCGCTCACGGAGTGCAACGTTGCTCTAAAAGCTGAGAGCCGGCTCGTCAGCTGAGAGCAATGTTGCGTTCCGGCCTGGGACTCATGTCCGCTTGCTGAGCTCTCCGGCAGAAGCGGTGGAGGTGGGAGGAGTTTACATTCCAGCCTTGAACACGCTCCCTTCTCCCTCCCCAGCTAACAGATGACGAGCCGGCTCATCAGCTTCGCTCACAGATGTAGTTTCGTGAGTTTTGGGTGCGGTGAAACAGCACTCTGAACATGGTATCGTGAGGCTTTAGGGTCACGTGTTCACAACAAAGCAGCGAGGCAGAAAAAAATGAACGGAAGACAGCTAACAAGTAAATAAAAAATTATTTTCACCTGGTGTGGGAAGAGGACACATATGTAATTCAAGCGATGCCCTGGCTTGTCCAAAAAGGATAACGTTCAGTGGCGGCTGGTCAATAGAGGACGCTGGTTCGCCGCCCCCCTCTAGTTTTGGTACACAAAAATAAAATAAAATAACAAAAGAAAATGTTATAAATATTTCGACAATATATCGTATAAATGTTTTCTGATAAGCAAAATAAATAATTTATTGTTATTGATGTGTAAACTTCTATTTTACGCATGAACGTTTTCGTGTGAGTCACTTCTGGGTCATGCTGGGTTTGCCCCTAGAGAGTCCCATAGGAAAGTCATTGTAAGATTTTGGGCATGCACAGTAAGTCCCCAATGCAAAAGAATAGGACGCCTTGGTGTGGGTTCACCCCGTGTTGACGACTCAACGATGTCATATTAGTGTGACAGCTGGCAGGCAGAGATCACGAGGTGGATTTTGGAGAGCAAACTAGTCGAGAATGGAGGAGAAAACAACACTGTAAGTCCCTTACAGCTAAACCTTTTCAAAGCAGGATATATGAGGAGAAACTTAAAGTGAAGTAGCTTGGACTGAATAAGCCAGACATAGTAAAAATTGAGCAAGAACGTGGTGTAGTTAAGATTGTGTTGGTGTTACCTTTATATTTGAGCAGTATAAAATATACAGTAAATGATGTGAACACAACATAATATAATATAAAGATATTTTTTATGTTTCTATTTAGTTTTGTTTTTTGTAAATTACTATTGTTTGAATTTATTCTTAAAAAGGGCAGATATTAGAAGATATTCTTTCTGCTGCCTTTCATTTTATTTATACATTTCCTTCTGTTGTGCAGTTTATTTTGTTTTTTAATAAATTGAATACATTTTTAAAATAAAACTATAATTAATAGTTTACCTTAGAGGTGCAACAATTTGTTGCTATTAAAATAACTTTAATTGTTCTCTATATGTTAAATATTTAATATAAAGCTCAATTGTAGCCATTTCTGTATTGAATTAAATTTGTGCATTTATTGGTTTATGTTTGTGACACCATCTTGAGACATTCAGAAAACATCTGATCAGAGCTACAGTGCTGCAGACAGGTTCCTGCAGGAGCACAGCCAATTCTCTGAAGCAGCACTGAAGACCATGAAGGCTCACCCAATGCTGAACAGGACCAAGAAGTCTGATCT